AGAATAGGGAGGTCAATGGAGCATTTATCTTTAATTTGACTTCTACAATATGGAGTAAGTAAAAGAGTCTGTTAGACTCCGTAGGGGCGAGCAAAATCGAGCCGAAACCGAAAAACCTCTAAATAGTGACAAATGATATGTAACTATCCATGTTAGTTATGTCCTCTCACACTTTGATTTGTTCCTTAATAACATCAATAAGTAAAGAACCTTTGCCCCAGTTAAAAAATTCTCTGTACTGACATGTTTATGCTCAAAATAATACAAAGCATTGTCCCTATTCTCAGCATCTAATCCAAGCACACATTTGATGGCAATTGGTTAAATTGGTACAAATTTTATTCTCTCCATGTGAAAATAAAAGCTATAAATATGTACACAATTGAGTAAAGACCAAATGCAAAGGCACCTATAAGGTAGATAGATATTCAAGCCATTTCTTAAGCTCTAGAAAGATATGGCATCGATCAAGGCAGAGAAACCTATCGGGCCACAGTCACAGGGCCCGACTAAGAAAGAGCCCGCAAAAGGCCCGGTCCCGAAACAAGGAGCTCTGAAGCCCAAGGGCGAGCAAAAGCCTCGGGAGCCTAGGAAAAAGGCGAGTATATGTTGAACCCATATTATGTATTTGTATTCGATTCTCGATTTACATTTGAGAAAATTGAAAGATCGTGATAAAGATTTATAATTGTTCGTCGTGTCGTGATATTGAAAAGGTTTCGTTTGTGTTTCTAGGTATCGGGAGGCAAAGGGGGGAAGAAGTGAAGAAGTTGAAGTTGGTTCATATGTGCAACTTTCAGCAGCTCTTATAGTGATTGCCTTTGATGTTTAAAGTTTATGATATGAACTATTGGCTTTTGTGATTGTGTAACTTAATTTGTATTTATGGCTTGGGCCTAATAAGAGCAATTGTGTGTGCTTAAAGCCACTTCAAAACTTCTAATTTTTAACGTGGGATATATATTCAATAACAAGGAAAATATTTGAATTTCACTTAAGTGAAATATGCAAAAAAATGCATATATATATTGGACTAATTCAAATAAAAGCTAAGTCTGGTGTGAAAAGCGTGAGAACCATATTTGATGCTATTTTTAATTGTGTATATGCTATTTTTAATATTGCTTGGTGCTATCATTTTCACAAATGTTAATAATTTTTTTTTTGCTATTTTTAATAAAATACACCATAGTTAAAAATAACATTAATATACAAGCAATCATAGCACTACATACAATTAAAAATAGCAGTTCTTACGGTTCTCATACTAAGACTTAGTTCTCATTTTTTTATCAAACTATAATTATATTAAAAACTCCAAAATTGAGTATACCTGAGATGTCAACTGACATTACTAGAACCAGAACATAGTGTATCATCTCCCAATTAGAATTACACAATCAATCAATCAGAGTAACAAGGATACCCAAGTACACTCCTACAGAAGAAGACAAAAAAAAAAGTCATAAAAGAGACTGAAAAATCATACACAATTGGACTCACAACTAAAAAACTGAAGACAAACAAGAAAAATGAAATACTTACAACACACACCTACATTAACAATATAATACTACCTCTTCTACATCTCAGAGGCACTATGCTACGACCACTTGAACCCGCATAGGGGTGGACAAGGGTTAGGACGCACAAGTTCACACTATGCCCATTTCTAATTAGACATGTCTCATATGTATCTTTTAACTCCTTAACGCTCTGTATATAATTCTTACATTTATAATACCCATATGATTAGAATTTATATACACTTGATATTAAATAAAGAAAGTAAAGAGTTAGAACATTAGAATATATGACATCTTGTGTTCTTCTGTTTTCGCTCATTTCTTAAGAATTTTGTACACGAGTAAGTTTGTCGAAATTGTTTGTGTTTGAAGTGGCATTATACATAAAATAAAAGTCCTTGTATTTTGGCGATGTTTGTAGAAAACCGTGGGCATTAGTCCATGGGAATTTCATCTTATGAGACATGTTTCACGTGCTTCGATTGTAATCAACTGTACATTTTCTTAGTTCAAATTCATTGATTTCAAGATAGTTGGTTTCTAGATTGTTCTTGATACCATTCATTGTCATTCTCCCCTAGACGAATATGTAGGCTTATAACCAATAAAATATTCAATAATTATCCTAGATGTGTCCTCATAGAGCATGATAAGCCACATGATCATACTCAATTTCGGTTTCTAACACAAATACAATCTTGATGTATTTCAAACAAGTCATTAATATTTTTATGGTTGGATCAACCCACACCCAAATGGTATATGCGTTTGTGTTGATCTGATAGTTTTACTGATAAATTAGAGTTTTGTAATTTCTGTCATCCCACCTAAAAATGATAAAATAAAGTTATGAAATGACCCCAAATTTTTTTATTTATTTTTTCCAACGGCAAACAAATATATAACTAGAAAACTCAAAATGAGTACAGATGATATGTCAACAAACACCAGGAACCAGATAACTGGACCTACCCTCTTGAAATTCCAGTGGAATTCAAGAGGTACAACTCCAATAAGGAGGCAACCGCAAACCCAAAGCAAAATCCCACAAAGGGGAAGAAAACTCCATAAATGAGATAAACCAGACAAGCTGAACTGACAAAACGAAATACAAAAAAGAAAAAACACACACACATAATAAACAAATAAACTAGGACCTCCCCTACACCTAATAGACTCAACGCCAAGGCACTCGAGACCTCAAACGATCCACATCCACTAGCAAAGAGATATAACAAAACCACAAACCACAACCTCAAGCCCAAAAACTACGGCCACAATCGAGTCTGCTCTCGATTCAGATCTGGAACTCCGAGAAACTATCCACGCCGCGGGAATGGAGTGGGAGACCCGGAACCTGAAAAACAAAACTCCTAGCGAGACGAAGGTCGACACCTCCTCGAAGCTTGGGCTCAACTCTGGCGGTCGGCGATCTCGTCTTTGGTCGGGGAATGGTTCGATGGCTAAACCCCGCCGTGAGGTGGGGGGCGAGAGATCTCCATCTCAATCGCCCACAAGCCTCGGAGTAGACGGAAAATAGTCCCAACCCCGCCCCAACTCCAACAGTGCGACGGCTAGTCTAAAGGTGAAGGAGGGGCGACGCAATTGCAGTAGACGACGGCTTTCTTTTTTTTACGATCTGAGGAGGAAGAAAGGGGACGCGTCCCCTTTACGTGTTTTTTTTCTTTTTCTTTTTAAGCCAAATAAAAATGACCCAATTATTTTATGAAATTGTAAATCCCTTACAATATATTCAATCAAATTGTTAGTGGCCTTCCTACTTCGTGACCAAAATTGATTAAATTGGAATGGTGGCCAAAAGCGAAGAGGCAATATATTTGGGGGGTAAAATTGATTTCTTCCAAGAAAAAAAGAACAACCACAAATTAAAGCCCCAAAAATCATTTTTTATGCTGCCATTGAAAAATGGCCGCCATTAACAGCTGCAGGATTCCTTCCTTTGGCTGTTCTCCACGAAGCAACATCAAAATCGAAACCCCAATTTCTTCACTTTCCTGTTCACAGTTCTTCGAAAGCAATCTTGCTCGGAGTTGTGGAGCATATAAACTCCCCAGGTCATATTTAGTAGTTATAATCGCATTGGAATTAGCTCTGTAGGTTTATCTGAGACCATTTTTCTTCTGGGTTTAGAGTCGTAAAGATTGGCTTTTTCGTGTTCTGTAATTGTATAAGAAACAAGAAAATGATAAAAGACGCTATTTTTATCAGGTTGAGGGCTTCTTGCCAACGAAACAAGACAGTACAATGTTTAAGGGCTCAAAGGGTTTCATGTGTGTCGGAAGGTAGTCCTGAGGAATTCGGAGAGTCCCAGAAGGTTTATATTTATTTTTATTTATTTTTTGTGTTGTTTATTATATAGATAGATAATGTTGAGTTGCCTGTTATACGTTGGTTAGGTATCACTTGCTGGAATATACCATGATGATTGTGAAGCTTGCTTTTTTTTGTTCTTTCTTTTGTAAATAGTTCTTGCTTGTTAGCTGTGAATCTGTAATGTGGGATTCTGGGCAATTATCTTTAAGTTGCTTTAGTAATGATATGATCAAGTTTCACTTTTTCTGTGCTCTCTGACTCTGTGTGTGTTAGTGAGAGAGGAGAGAGCAAGTGTGTGTGTGTGTGTGAGAGAGAGAGAGATGGAGCTTCTAGTGTAGGAATTAGTGAAGAACTGGGCAGATGAGTGGCACCACGGAGAAAAAAATGCTCATATTTTGATTGACGACTTACAGAATAATGTCTTGTGCCCTCGACTTCGAAATGATTAGAATATACTCAATTCTGTGTGTGTTAGTGAGAGATAGAGAGAGAGAGGGAGAGAGCTTCTAGTCTAGGAATTAATGAAGAATTGGGCAGGTGAGTGGCACCATGGTGAATAAAATGCTCATCTTTTGGTTGAAGATTTGCAGAAAAGTGTCTCAACTTGGGAATGATTTAAATGTTCTCAATTCTCATTATATTGAAAATATCTCTCTCTCTTTTTCTTTTTTGGTTTTGGGGCCTTGAAGTTTGGAATTGGAATAAGTAAAACTGATGTATGTGTTTTCACCCTTTTACAAATGGTTAAAATCACTCAGCATTGTGCCTGAGTGTGGCATAGAAAAGACCATTCTCTCACAATTTTCTTAAGATTTTTCTCATAAATGCTAGGCCTTCTTTTCTAACCATGATATTTGACGTTTTTTACATGAAAATCTGAAAGGAAATTAGAGTTTTGTATATCTGATTATAAAGTTTCTATTCATAAGTTCTGTTCTACCCTTAAAAACATTCTTCTTCTTCTTTTTCCTTTTCTTTCTTTCTTTCTTTTTTTTTTTTTCCTTTTCCTCTGTAAAACTTTTCTCGCCGGTGTGAGTTATATTTTTCCATAACTCATTAGCTTATGTATTGTGAGTTATATTTTCAATTAGCTCTATGGTACTGAAATAACTCTGCATTATTGTAATCCAAATTTCTTGCTTCTAGGCGGCTGCCATTGATCTGAAACTCCCGAGGAGAAGTTTGTTGGTAACTTTTACATGTGATGCTTGTAGTGCTCGATCACAAAGGCTGATAAATAGATTGGCGTATGAACGGGGGCTTGTTTACGTGCAGGTAATATAGATGATTTTTTTTTTTTTTATTCCAGTAATTTGCCAATGTCATGTTGCTTCTGTGTTCATAATTATATCGGTTTTATCCTCTGTAAATAAACATTTCACCATCAAAACAGTTCTGTGTCAAAAATTTTTCCTAACTTGTGTCACTGGAAAATGTACACTTGACCTTTTTCTTATAACTAGCAGAGGCTATCGCTCCTTGTGGACATATGCGGTTAGTATGACTTGATAAATTTGAATGTCATAATACATGATGTGATCCAACATTTTATTTTATTTACGATTTTCAGAAGATGGATTATTGGATTAGATCTTCTATGGTTTCTTTTAATTAATACTCAATAATGACATGAAATAGAAGTATCATTGCAATACTTTCTAAAGTTTTTCTTATATAAATTCTTGCATTATTATTCTGTGTTTATAAAACAATTATTTTATTTATGTAGCTTGTCTTTTTTTTTTTTGGAAATTTGCGAACTGATTATTCTATGAAACAGTGTTCAGGATGTTCTCGATATCACAAGCTAGTCGACAATCTCGGACTTGTGGCTGAATACAAGCTCCACGATGAAATTGATCAGGATGCAAGTACGGATCATACCTAGAGAGAGATACATTTTTTTTTTTCTTTTTTTCCCACAGTTCAGTTTCATTCTGGGTTGATGACAAAGAAAACAATTTCATATATTTATGTAGTGATATGATAACACAGTCTTCAGAGGTACAAAAAGAATGAAAATATTATGTGGTTATACAAATGCACTGATGCTCTGATCCTCTTCTGTATGCCAAATACACATTTTCTCTCATTTTCCAAAACGTTATCATCGTATGTGTGTGTATCTATAGGAGACTGCTCGTCTCGTAAAAAAAATTCTTAGGCGCAAAAACTAGTGACGGCCAAAAACGTAGCCAGTGCAATTCCAGCAGTAACCCTCATGCTAGTTCTTCTTGATACGCCTTCGTTCTGCAATTTTATGACAAGGAAAGATTTCGAATTTTGATATGGTTTGCTATGTCAAATTACGAAAAGAACCCTTTGGTCATTTGTCTGTAAAAAGATTTTAAGTTCTTACCAGATTAAAGGTTGGGGAGGGTGCGAATGCCGTGTCCTCGTCGGTATCTTGAACTGTAGGTGGGGCCGGGGGGCTCTGGACGATCGGTGCTGGTGCCGGAGCGTGATGATGCTTATGCTTGTGGTGTCTCTTCTTGTGCTTC